CATGTCGCTCAAATGATCGGCAAAGTATATACATTTTGGTATAATTCCAGGAGCAAGTGTGTGATGCAAGGAAAAAGTTTGATTACATCCCACAAACAATGAGCAACCCCCTAGATCTTTAACGGGGATCCAATGAGATGAAGAACAAGAAGCGATAGCAGTCGGCACAAACTTGGAAACAAAGATAACCACTATCTTCGCTTTCCAACTATTATCTATCTTCCTTTTTCTAGTATCAATCACCCTCTCTATTTTTAGAAGTGCTCATGATAAAAAAGCAATATAATACATGTAATCAGAGTTTTTGGTGCGAAAGCATGGGTCCTGAGTTGTCGGGCAGATCAATTCAAATTTTTTCCATTGACGTCAAAGGCCAGAACCATCGAGAAATGTGTGATTGTGTAAAATCTTTTATCTTCCTGATGATAGTAAACATCCTCAAATTGCTCCACGTGCATTATGGCATAAAGAGGCAACTGCGGGCCGAGAACCCATGTTTGATCTCCCAGCCTTTCCAAAGCCAGAGATTTTGTACGTCCATAGATAACAATAGCAGTTCCTGATAAGTCATTAGAAGAGACAATGATCTTCTGAAAATATATATCACGTAAGCATTCCTCGTCTGTGCTAAAGTATGAGTAAATTTCATTACAAAAAAAATCTGATAGAGCCGTCAGGGCCATAAACATGCCCTTCGTCTTTGGGGATGGTGAAAAGAGATGGGAATGATATTTCAGCCTTTGTGAGAGGGTTAAAGAGGCGAGCCTGCAGATCTTCTTTCTCAAGGGTCATGAGCCATCCATCCTTCGAGCCAAAGCAACGACGACCGATGATGTAACTATCAAGGGAGGAGAAGCGAAGATGGCAACCGACACTGGTCTCTTCTTCTTTTATTGTAAATTCACGGAAGGTGAGTGAATTGGAGGCTTCTCCAGCTTCACTGGGAAGCAATAACCAAGGTGAGGGACGACATTGAATTCCATTGGGTACATCGTTGGAAAGAACATAATTCCATGAGGTGCAGACAACAAAGAGTCGAAGGTAGTCTACAATGGGCAAATGCGATGAGGTGTAATGGATGAGATCTATTGGGAGATCAGACCATGTCATAATATTATTGTATACGTGGTGGCAAAAAGATGAGAAAAGATGCTTGAATGCCTTATGCAATCTTTGTTAGATATATATAGCATAGCTCCCAAGTGGACCTCACCAAAAATAGCAGGAATAAAATAAGCATTTATGACTAATAATTTTTTGGGAAAAATTTGTGGATAATATTCAAAAGCACCAATTTTTTTTCTTATTGGTGGCTAAAAAAAGGTCAACTTCCATTTTCCCTAAAAAAATGCATAACATCTTTCTTTAAATAAGAACTTTTAGATTTAAAATTTTTAAAATAAGCATTTTGAGCTAACTTTGTTAAATTGAATTTTAGATTAAGCATTTTCAAAAGTCAAGTATAAAATTTTAAATTTATTAAAATAAATATTCTATATTTCTTTTATATAAAAAATTATCTTTCATTTCATACAGCTCATTAAATAATCAAATAAGACTTTGTGTCAAAATTTAATGTCATTTGGAGAGTTCTCGAAATGATTTTTCTTAAATACATAAATTTAAATGGAATTAACACTTAATCGAAATGATTTGGTTTGGTTAAA